TATATATATATATATATATATATATATATATATATATATATAAATAACATTCGAACTACGAGAAATAATTAAATATTTGAAATTAATTTGCACCGATTTGCATTAATAATTAATGTTTATACGCATTGATTTATCTTTTCTTAAATTACAAATTACAAACACCTTTGATATTAGCATTCGCACAATCTCGGGGTACTATTTATTCTTATATACGAGAAAAAAAAAAAAATTGTTGTCGTTTGCTTGTCTGCGAATAAATTTGGAAAGAAGGTTTAACAAAAGTCTTCTGTATATATTGAATTTCATTGTACAATTATTATTATTGAATTTATTATAAAACAAATGTGTGCATATTCATGTTGAAACAAGGCACGTTTCTTGCCGTAAGTTATAAATAATAATATAAAATACGTTCATGGATAATGGATGTACATTTAGCTTGGAAATGACTTCAAAATGTATTTTATCTGATACAATAACATTCTGTTAAACAATTTCATGTAAATACGTTGAATGTTCTAATCGTTAATTGCCTAGTTACATTATTGACTTACACTCGTATTTTTACTTCCAGACTTAAAGAACGGATGTAAATTATCTTCTAAGATTCTTCTAAAATTCAAAGAGTCAAGATTCATTTATTGATTCATAAGCTTTATAGTTTCGAATGTTTATTAAAAAAACACACGTATAGTGAAAACGTGTATAATGCTTTAATCGGTGTGGTTTTTAATATATACAACATACATGAATACACACGCATTAAAATATATTAACATATATTAACATATTCAAATTTTATTTTGTGTAGTTACTAATGCACAGGAAGATACATGAATTTCAATATTCTAAATTGTAGATAAGCAAGTTCCTTTTTACTGTCGGCATTCTTTGCTTGTTGAAAAACATCACGTGTGTATATGTATACTAATATCGTTAAATATTCTTTTCCAGCAATGCCATATGTTTCGGAAATTACACACACAAGTGTCTCATATTCCTGTTATACATTGACAATCACACAAAATAAATATACCCGTATATATATATATATATATTTTTTTTTTTTGATACACATGCATTCGTGTAAGTACTTCAATATAATTAATATATATATATCAATATAATTGATATATATATATATATATATATGTTAATATAATTAAAAAATTAATCAATATTATATATATATATATAATGCTTTAATCGGTGTGGTTTTTAATATATACAATATACATGAATACACATGCATTCGTGTAAGTACTTCAATATAATTAATATATATATATTAAAAACCACGCGCATGTATAAAATATACACATACAACATGTGTATTTAAATACATTATGTAATACAAATTAATCATAATTATTTAATGATAAATATATATATTTATATCATATGTACATTTAAATACATCTAAATAGATTTGTAACAGGGAATCGGCCATGATCACTGATTATTCTTCGCGGAAGTCCATGGGAGGAGCTGAATGGCTCGAACTTAGCCGCGTGATGTTCCCCACTAAATGTAAGCCAGCGATGCACGTGGCGCAGGATAAAAGGAGCGTAACGGTAATTTCGACTCATGACGAATATGCCGGCGATAATTCACGAGGGGAACAGTTGTGATATATATCGTAGGTGTCAGTCGTGCGTGTTCTGTATTCGCGCCCAGCGAATACGAAAGCAAAATGGTGGCTTCACAATGCAGACATCCGTCAACGGCAACTTCCCCTATACGAATGAAGGTCAACGAGGGAGCTGGATTGTACAGTTGGATTGCAGAGGGGTTGCATTGTGGGGAGAGAGAGAGAGAGAGAGAGAGAGGGAGAGAACAGCGAGGGAACTGATTGCGAACGGCCTTCAATAAGGGCACACGTGCTGAATTTTCGATTCGTCTACGCCGGCTTTCGCCAACTCGTCCCCGATTTGCGTGCGGATTCATTGAGCTCGCCGAAACTTCGAAATTCGCGTGCCACGCAACGATCACTTCTCCGTCCGCGATCTGAACGACGACGACGACGACGACGATTTTTCATTTAGTTCGCCACGTACGTCTTTTGAAAAAAAAAAAAAAAATTTATTCCACTTGTTTTTTTATATCGAGAACGGTTAAACATAAATCAATCTCATGTATAATACATGCAACATGTGTATTTGTATGTGAGTGTGTGCGTGTGTTTTTTTTTTCTAGAAAGTCATCATTTAAATACACGTGCTATCCGTCAGTATATAAATTACTAGCTTTTAATTACGTGCACACGTGTATCGAATGATACGATACGAGTATGCTAACATATTTAAGTGATTATTATTTATGCGAAGTGATTCGCGAGACAAACCTATACGATATTGCTAAATAAAATGTATAAACGATAGCAACGTTAGTTACATGAAGTGACAAGTAAGATGTTTTCCAAAAGTGTTGAAAACAAGGGTGGTTTATTCGAAACGTTGAAACCTCTCAAAACCTGAGAAAATTTCGAGTTTCGAGAATTCGAAATATGGACCTTTTTGGAGAACCGATATTATAGATAACAAGAAACATAAAATCAATAAATAAAGAATTATTTGCAACGTGAATAAAAGAAGATCAATATGTATCTCATCTCAAACGTTCGATGCGAGATGCTTCGGTGATCGGTTTTTGTTTTTAAGAGTATAAGATGTGCGGTCGATCGTAATAATTTCGAAGTGATAATGCAACCGAATCTAGAGAAATGATCA